AGATAAAACAGGAGTGGGGAGCTTGGCGATTAGTAGATCCCCCAGGGATTGTATCTTGGGGCTCAGTTCCCTCCAACCTTCCTGTGCTCTGCCTAGCTTCCAGGCTGGGCAGAAGCAGCCAGGATACCGGAGCCCCCAGCTGAGATTCAAGCCAAGCCTGGGTCTTTGAGAAGACAGCCAGCGGTGAGACCAAACCTGCATCAGATCTTTCTCGTTCCATTTTTTTTCTGGTTTAATTTTCCAGAGATTAGTGCCTGTTCACCCTCGCTGCAGGGAGGAGCCTTGTGCTTCGTGTCTGCTTTGCCTCTCAGGGTTGGATGATTGGTTAGTCGATGAGGCTGGTTCTGAAGACCCAGCTTCCTCCTCCACCCTTTCACAGACTCATTCCTTCAGTGTTGACTTGATCTGTCCCAGGCCCACTTTCAAGCCTCCATTCCCCCTTCGCAAAGCCCTCACCTTCAGTATTGAGAGTAAATGCAGGAAGCAAAACACAGAATAGGCCCTAAAGCGGAGGCTTGGTATCAGACAGATCCAGTTCAAATGCCAGCTCAGACTGGCCCTCAGTGTTATCCCCATCTGCTAAATGGGGGTGATGAGAATTCACCTCCTCAGCAGTTGTCAGAGATCACCAAGGTCAAGCAGGTAAAGCATCTGCCTGGAATGACAGAACCAATGGCCAGGTATAAAGGGGACTCTGTGGGCACCCCTGCTTGCCCTTCCTCACCTGTCCCTCCTTTTTCCCTCCCCTCCCCGCCCTCCTTCTCACCCTGAGCAAGTTGCATGTTTGCTCAGACCCAGATCCCATTACTGCTGGCTTTCTCAGACTTTGTAAAATACCTCTCCAGCCAGACTGGGGCCTGTCTAGGCTTCTGGTCCTGGACCCTTTATGCCCTGTGATGGCCATGTCTGCTCCAGGAATGTAGAGAATAGTAGCTGGATTCCCCCCATCCCATTCAGTATTGTTGGAGCCTGTGGGGATGGGACTAACTCTCTCTGACCCCACAGGCATCTCCGATTCCTGTCCAAGGTTGCTGTTTGTCCTCCAGGCTCACTTCCATTGACACGGAGCGACTCCAGGGACCCTAGAGGCCCCCACAGGCCCTGGGACTCCCTAAGCCAGAAGGATTAGCCGCACATGCTTCTTGACAAAAGAACTGTTAGAGCTGAAAGCTGGGCCAAGATAGAGGAGGGAGAACGAGGGAGGAAGAAGGATGATGAAGAGGCAGATATCAGTCCTGGAATGGAGTTGCTCTCCTGGTTTAGAAAAGGCAGAACCTGAGACTCCTTGGGCTTGGAACTGTCTCCCGAATCGTCTCACAGGCCTCAGCACCCCTTGCTCTTCTTACTTGTCAAGCCCTCTGAAAATGCATCTCCTGCCAGCTTCTGTGTGGCCTCCTGAGTCCAGCCAGCCTGTCCCGCTGGTCTGCTGCCCTGTCCTGTCCCTTCATCGTCCTATAGCCCCTTCTGTGCATCGGAGCCCTGCTTTTTCTTCCTCTACCCTGCATGGCTGGGAGCTGCAGCAACCTGTTGGCCCCATCACTCTCCTCATTCCAGCTGCCTGTGCAAAGGTGGGGGCCATGCGGCTGCGCTGCTCTGGGAGCTGCTGGTTTTTTCCAATTAACTCTCTGGGCCAAGGACACCAGCGGGCGCAGAGTCCTGCTGAGGTTGTTGAGGCTCTGCACCCAGTGTGCCCTGGCCTTTCTGCTGCTTCAGAGCTGGCCCTGGGGGCCAGGCTAGAGACTGGGGCTTCTGGGGGAGCCAGCCCTGGGAAGGCTCCGTGCTCTGGAGCTGCGCTGACTCTCCTGGTCTTCCTGCTGAGCCTGCAGGTGGGAAACACCCCCTTTAGACCACATCAATGGAGAGATGACCTGGCTCTCAGGGTGGCACCATCTGCTGGACTGTGCCACTCAGATCCCTGGGTTACAGGGCTTAGCTCAGGGCCAGCCCTCGCTGTGGGGACAACCAGAATAAGTCTAGGGGAGTGATGAGAAGAAGGGTGGGTAGTTAGGGCCTGCCATCCAAAAGGCACAGAAAAAGCAGAGAGTGTTGGACCTCAGGGTTCTCAGGGATTGGAGGAGAGCCTAGGGCAGCCCCTGGTTTTCCGGGAATCTGCCCTCACCTCCCATTTTTCTGCCCTTGCTCTAGGGAGGATTTAGCTGGACAGGGAGAGTGAGCTGGAAGCACAGAAGGCATGGACAGAGGCGTGGCAGCGGGACTCAGCCTGGGCTGGGGGTCAAGCAGCCTGCAGGTGTGTGATGGGACAGTCGGCTAGGACACATTGAAGCTGTCTGAGAACAAAGCATGACACATACAGCCCCACGCTCCTAGGGTCACACAGCTCCGGACAGGAGTGGAAGAGTCAGGCCTAGGCCCAGCAAGTCCCAAATTCTGCTCTTGAACTTGAAATTGGACAGTGCATTTGCCCAGGGTCCCCTGCACCCAAGCTCAGTACTTGAGGAGAGATAGAAGAGAGGTGGCTGTGACTGTTCTCTGTCACTGGCGTCCCCATGTCTGGGCTCTTCTGTTATCAACTCCAAGGCAGAGGCTGAGGTGTTGGCAACAAAAACAAGGTGATGTGGGGGATGGGTTGCCCACAAAGACCTGGGGGGGATGTGGGGTCTAGAAGTGGACAGGCCCCAAGAGACAAAAGCCGAGTGGTCCCCTAAGTATAGAGATCTAGCAGGGAAAGAGTGGGGGCAGGGTACCACAATTCCCTTGGGCAGAATGCTGACAATCCTAAACGATGGCAGTAGCAACAATAGTACCAGCTCCTCTCAGAGTGAATCATGTGGTCCTGGGGGGGTGGGGGAGCGTGTGTGGTGGAGCTTGTCACTCTCCCATTTTCTAGATCTGGACACTGAGGTTAAGCAATAAGGTGACTCTTGGCTAGATTATTGCTTCCAAGCCTTTATGTTACCTGTTGGGACCCTGCAGTATGACCCTGTCACCTAGAAACCCACTCCTTCTATGGTTCCCAAGCCCAGGCTAAGTTATCATATATTAGACTTCAGGGGGCATCTTGGACCCCATCCTGGCTTCACAGAACCCCATAGAAGTCAGGTCAGGAGGCTTCAAGGTCGAGCTTTGAAATTGGACTACCTTTGCTACAGTTGGCCCCTGACCATGGCAGCACTTGAGAATGACCTTGATGGGGGAGACTGAGGTTTGGGAACATCCTCCTCCACACAGAGAAACTGATGGCTTGGCCCCCTGCTGGTACAAGTGGGTGGATTGAACCCTGGAGAGGATTCAGCGAGGGGTGCTATACTAGGGCAGGTCCAGAACGATGGTTCCGGTAAGGTGGGGAACCCCGCTGTGCCAGTCACATCTGTGTGTCTTTGAACTGTCCTATCCTGTCTGTGAGCCTCAGTTTCCCCACCAGTAAGGCATTAGGCTCCAGAGTATCTGCATGTCCCCAGCAACCCTCGAGCTCTGACTCCGCAACTCAACTCTGACTCCTCTTGCTGTCCCTGCCTCCCTTCTGGATGCACTCATCTGACACAGGGAGGTGGAAGCCGGGGAGCCCCAGAACAGCCTGACCTGGCCCCCATTTGGGCCTTTCTCCTCCTGGCCGCCTGGTCAGACCTTAAAACTCGCCCCCTAATTGCCATTGCTCTGCAGGAAGGAGCAACTTCACCACAAATTATTTTGTTCTAAGAGAAGGACAAAAAGAAAAGAGAAGCTGAGAGGGATGGGGGGGCAGCAGGAGGAGGAGAAAATTGCCTGAGTAGGGCTGTGTGCGGTGCTTTTAACCCTTAGATTGCTGGCTGCTAGTGGGGGGGGGGGCAGGGCTGTACTTGCACCAAGTCCCCCTACCATCCCTCATCCCTCTGTTGGGTGATGGAGGCCTTATCTACACCATCGAACTGTCACTCTCTGACCTTATCTCTCCCTGCCTGTCTTGTCTCTCATCAGCTGCCTCTCCTGCCTTATCTCCTCATCATCACCTTCTCTCTGGCTCTCCTCATCCCTCTGCTTCTGTGCTGAACCTCCTCTCAGTGGTCCAGTGGTGGCAGTGTGGTCTGTGACCTCTGGTGAAGGAGGCAACTGGGGGCACAAACCTCCTAGGTCCCCAGATGGACACATGGACCCAGCCAGGCTGCACAAGAAGTGCAGTGTCTGTGTGTGTGTGTGTGTGTGTGTGTGTGTGTACACACTCCAAGATCGACCACGAGCCAGGATGCCCACAGAGACTGTCCTTAAGACACCTGTGAAGCCTCAGGCAGTGCCTTCTAAACTCTAACCCTACCCTATCCTACCCATCGACACAGGCACCTGCACACAGATGGGTGTGTACTGAGCCATAATGCACACGCACGCCTATACAGACTGTCCTGTTTACACCACACATGTGCCTGTGTGCAGATCCGCAAGCTGAGCAGGAGGGGTGGGCAGATCCATTCCCCCCACCTGCCTCTTCCTGTCTACCTTGGTACTCTCTCCAGCTTCTCTTCCCTGAGTGACAGAAGAGCCCCTGGGGGCACCCAGAACTCCTGCTACAGTTTTGGCAAACACCCCGGGGCTGTGTCAGCAGAAAGGGGTGTAGCTGCCTGAGCTGGGTAGGGGAGCAGCAGTGTGTGTGATGTCTGGGTGTGGGTGTGGGTGTGCATGTGTGCACATCTTTCTGTTGGTTTATGGGCATGTGATGTGTGCTTATTGGATGCATCAATCTGCACCCCTGTGCTTTGCCACCTGTGGTGGTCTTACCTATTCCAGGATAGTCCTTAGATGTTTATGGCCCTCAGTGACAATCCCCCTCCATGACCATCAGCCCACAGGCTGAAAACCATCCTGGATGCAAGCAGTGATGCCCATCTGAGAGGATGCTGGGTCCACTCCCCACAATACTTGCCATGCTCCCTTTAGGGTAGCCAAAGTCAGGGTGGGGATGAGGAGGGCGTCAGAAGCTGTAGATGAGCTGTGTAGAGGAGTATGCAGGGGACCTAACGTGAGAACATGAAACCCCACCAGCTTCACCCCCAGCCTCTGCTTTCTTCCAGATCTACAAAGACAACCGGAACCTGTTTGAGGTGCAAGAGAACGAACCTCAGAAGTTGGTGGAAAAGGTAGCAGGCGACATTGAGAGCCTGCTGGACAGGAAGGTGCAGGCCTTGAAGGTAGGTACTGGGGGGGGGGGTTGTTGATGAGAACCAAGCATGTGAGGTTAGCCACGCACCATGAGGGCAGCACCCCTGCCCCTGTGATCGCACAGCTCCCTGGGGCCTCTGAAATCAGGCTGCGGCCTTGTTGGCAGGCTGTGCCCGTGCAGATTTTGGGCAGCTGTAGCAGAAGCAGAATGATTGTCAGTTGCAGGAGGCCTAGATCTGGAGTCCTCTTATTCCTCTGGGCCTCTAGCCTAATGAGTGATGTCCAGGTGAGCATCTGACCAGAAGAATGACCTGGTGATGGTGGAGTCTACCCTGATGGAGCTGGGAGGCTAGACTTCTGGCTGTGGTGGAAAGGAACTGTGGAGGGGCCTTGGCTGCCCCCTAGAGAAGGCTGTGGTCATGCAAGGCTAAAAGGCTGCAGCCCCTGCTCTGCCCATGACCTTAAACTTTTATCTGCCCCCTCTGGACTCTGTGTAGACCCAGAGAAAGTATACTTGTCACTTCTAAGGTGCTCTTGGCTTCAGGGTGCTGTGATTCTGTGGGGTGACGGGACCCACTGAGCCGCTGTGAATAAGTCTACAAAACTGGCAGATTCCTAGTACCCAGCCCACCCAGGAGAGCAAATGGGGAGGGGATTGTGGAGCTGCAGAATGTCCTGGGCAAGTCGTAAGATAAATGATGGAGGAGAGTCTAAGTGCCATCAGATCAGAGGCCCAACCGTTGCCGCCCCCCCTTATGTCAAAGACAGGCTGTTGGTATCATTAAGTCTGAACCCACTCATGGCTGACCCGCTGGTGGGTTTATAGAGGCAGTAAATTGCACAGGAGATTGCCCATCTTTTTCCTGGGGAGCAAGTGGTGGATTTGAACCACTTACTTTAGTGTTGGCAGCACCATTCCTTACTACGAAACCATCAGAGCTCCCTCGAAGGAAGGGGAGTCCAACAAAAAAGAAGTCTTGATAGATGCTACAGTATTGATGGGCTTGAAAACATGATGCTCAGTGGAAGAAGCCAGTCAGAAAAGAGCGCATCTTGGATGAACCCGTTGTATGAAGTGTCCAGAATAGATGAATCTTTTGAAACAGAAAGTAGATTAGTTATTGCCTAGGGCTGGGGAGGGAGGAGGTAGGGGTGCAGCAAAGAGGATAGGGAATGTCTGCTAATAGTTCCGTGGTTTCTTTTTGAGTTGATGAGAATGTTCCAAAATTAGATCCTGACGGTGGTTGCACAACTCTTGAATATATTACAAACCACTGGATTGTATATTTTAAACGGATAGATTTCATGGTACGTGAATTATATCTCAATAAAATGTTAGGGGAGTTTTATTAAAAAAAGAAAAGAAAAAAGATAAGTGAAAATCCACACGAGCCATGTCCAGTCTCAGGCCAGGAGCAAGTCAGAGCATCTGCCTTAGCCTAGACTCACCATATCCAGGCCCTGGGTCAGAACCAGATAACCCCTTCCCCAGGGCCTGAGCCCTCCTGTCTCCGTGGAGTCCTCTGCTTTGCCCCATGGGACCCAGGGTTGTGGGCTAGAGAGAGGCTGGGATCCTGGAGTAAAGTGGGCCCTGAGGGCTTCAGGCCACGTGCAGACCCTGAGCTGGGCCCAGCCCAACCCAGAAAACAGGTGGAGGGGTCACCTCAGATTGTGGGAGATACTCTGACTGCCTTTTGCAGTGAGCACATCACATCCTACCTCTTTGCTTTGCTGCATCTGGGCTCTCTCATTCTCGAGCTCTCTCCACCTCATTCCCAAACCCCTCCCTTGCATACCACTTTCTTGCTTTGCTGTTCCTGGTTGACAGTGTGCAAAGTGCAGGCCTTCAAGGCCCCAGCTTGTGTTGCAACAGTCTGATAAATTGGAGAAGGGACATCCTCCAGGCCCGCTCCCACCCTTTCAGGCCTGAGCACCTCACTGGGGGAACTCAGTGGTGGTAGTGGCAGATGGCCCTGTCCGCCCTCCACATGTGGGACTCGGGGCCCAGCTCTGGCTATAGTTTCTCGGGTGCTATAGGTCTGCAGTCTCTCCCAGGCTCTTTTCCTCTTCCTAGGTAACCATCGTCCCTGACAGCTGGGTTGAGGAAATAGCCAAACGCCTGCGGTTCTGATCTTACCTTTCTTCCAGCACCCTACCATCCAGACAGTGTTCCATAAGGCAGGACTGTAGTCTGCCTCCTTTTTGTTGCTGTGCAGTCCAGACTATGACCTGATACTCATTCAACACTAAATACAAATTAGTTCTGATGGAGAAAATGATGGCAAAAGATAACTCTGTGACTAGGCACTCATTGTCATTTTAACAACAGGCACTTTGCCACCCCATGCTTTATAGATAGGGACACTGAGACTTGGAGATGCTGTACATCAGATTAGGCTGTCAGCATTTGAACTCAGGTCTCTTAGACCGTAAACTCAGTTCTCTCAGTTATTGTGAAATGTGTGCAGAGCCTTCCTAGCCAGCTCCCGCTGCAGCGCCCCCTGGCTGCAGTACCTCGAGGCACAACTGTCCATGTCTCCAATAGCCGTTTAAGAACCACCATCCCCCTCCAGGATCCTGATTGTTCAAGATGCACTTTGGTCTTAATTATGTTTTAAATTTGCTTTTTATCAAGTCTAGCCCTTTTCTCTTTTCCCACAATGTTTGCAGCCTAAGTGTATGTAGAGGAAGGGATGTTGGGGGACTGGACACCCTCAGGCCCTACTCCATTGTTCCTTCTTTCCCTGGACTTCATCTAGTAATCCAATTTAAATCTCCTTACTCTGGTCTGGAATTTTAATTCGGGGCTTGCAAAGAGGGCGATGAGCAGCTCAGGCTCACCAGGACGGAAGTTCATTGTTTCATCTAATCAGAGACAATCAGATGTTTGTAACGAGTTTCTCCAAACTTCATAGACCAGGGTCTGGGGCCCAAGAGTCAGGCGGCAGCCACCTGGAAAGAGAGGGGAACCTTTGTACACAGGCATCCAGCATCCCCAGGTCTCAGAAATATTCCAGGGCCTCCCCTTCAGAAATGTAGAAGGAAATCTGCCTTAGAACTTCAGCTGCCTGGGGAGACAGGTCCTCTGGACTAGAGCCCTTACTCAGGTCTTGGGCAAGACAGGTAGGGATTTGCTGAAGGGCCAGGGTAAGGTTCTTTGTGGCCAAGCAGGGCGATGTGAAGCCTGGAATAGAGAACCTGTTGGAAGGTAGTGAAGATATTGGGGGAAAGTTTGACATTGAGGCATCTGGAGGCCAATTCAGAGTAGGGCTTAGTGATGCATTCATTTGATGATGGAGTTTCAGCCCCTGGAGGTCAAGACTAAGGGTAGCACCACGCGTCAAGGCTTAGAGCCTCCTGAGTGTTCACAGAGCAGACGACAGGACTGTAGTCTGGTTTTAGCCGTAATCCAGCCTCTTGTATCCGACTCCAAACCAGAGATGTTCTAGAAAGTGCAGTAACAGTGGACTGGCAGACAGGGAATTCTGGGCCGTAGGATGCCTCCTCCCACCATTCTCAGAGCAATTAAAAGGCGTTTATATGGGGCTGGCAGTGGCTTCTGCCTCCCCTCCATTACGAACATTAAGAGATCTTGACCCCTCCACTTTCCCTCTCTTGAAAGGAGCCGCAGACACGTGGAGCCAATTAGGCGCAGGCGTGGGCGCCAAGGGCCCGAGCAGCCTTTTCTCCCTGATTGCGGTGTTTACTGCTGATTATTCTCCCCTCACCCAAACAGCACTGTCGCTTCCTGGCGAGATGCCACTGCCACCCAGAGGAGCCGCCTAGGCCCCCCTGCAGATGGGGTGAGCAGAGAATAAGAGAATGGGCATTTGCTGAGCTCCTGTTATGGGGGAACCTTCGGGACCCTTCACCTAAGGGAGAAGACATCCGGGAAGAACCAGCCAGCCAGGAAATAAGGGAGGGGGCATGAGTGGCAATGAGCACGTGGGAGAGACAGGTCACCAATATGACAACAGAGAGTGGAGATTGGGGAAATGGGGGTTCAAGGAGGCTCTGGAGAGGGGGCCTGAACATGTGTGGCAGGAAGATGACCCGTTGTCCTTTCACACACCCAAAGGGCTTGAAATCAATAAAGACATGCTGCTCCCAGAAATCAGTAGGTGCGAGAATGGAGATAGCCTCCTGCCTGCCTCTCCACCCTGTGACCAAGAATCAGAGACCTTTCAAAGCCCTTTAAGCTACTGGCAAGGCAGGGAACTGTCCTCCCTGGAAGCACACAAGAGTCAGTGCAGGTGACGTGGGGTGTGGTCCAAGTATCTTCCAGTAAAGCTCATCACCCCTCAACTTCCCCCATCTGCAGTTGCTAACAGTGGTCTAAAAAGGGCCTGGCTGGGCCTAGACGGCCTCAGGAAAGATGACACTGGCGATTAGGCCTGAGATATACCCTGTGGAACAGGCCTCTCTCCTGGGTCTTCGTCCCAGGTGCAGATGGGTGCAGGGCCCTCAGGTCAGCGGAGCTGTAGTCATCTCCTAGTCAAAGGAAGGGCCTTAGGGGTCTAGGTGCAACAGAACTGAGGCCCACCAAGCCTGGAGGATCAGCCTGATACACATTGTGCCCTAATGAATTCTCCAGAGCTTCAGAAGGTCCAAAAGAAAAGGCCGCAGCAAGGGGTCGGGCAAGAAGGCTCAGTGTCCCACCCATGCTAACCAGCCCTGTCCATCTCCTGTGGGAACTGCCCGAGTCAGGGTGTCTGAGCCACGCCCTCCCACTTGCCCTGCCACAAGTGTGTCCTGTGAACTCCATTCAGTCTCCCCTTTGTTCCCTTGCTCACTCATCTGGTAATCCTTCTCCACTGCTCCTGGCTTACCCAGCTCTAAGTCAGGAATAAGTCTCCAGTGACTGTGGGGCAGAATTCCTGTTTTATAGATGAGGAACCAGAAGCTCAGAGACCAGATGACAGCTCCGGTTACCCTGGCCCCTGAGCCTCTTGCTTGCCCAGACCCCTTTAGAAAGAGGCTGAATTGTGTTGGCTGGGGGAGGGAGGCGCTAAGGGTCCAGCAGGCAGAG